AAAGATCAGATGGTTGTAGATGTGAAGTCTTATTTCTGAGATCTCTATTCTGTTCCATTGGTCTATGTGTCTGTTTTTATACCAGTTCCATGCTATTTTGGTTACTGTAGCCTTGTAGAATAGTTTGAAGTCAGGTAGCGTGATGCCTCCGGCTTTGTTCTTTTTGCTTAGGATTGTCTTGGCTGTACGCTTTACCCATTTTTTAATGGGGTTGTTTATTGCTTGTTGATTTGTTTAAGTTCCTTATAGATTCTAGATATTAGATCTTTGTCTGATGCATATTTTGTGAATATTTTCTCCCATTCTGTAGGTTGCCTGCTTACTCTGCTGATCATTTCTTACGTTGTGCAGAAGCTCTTTTGTTTAATTAGGTCCCACTTGTCAATTTTTGTTTTTGTTGCAATTGCTTTTGGGGACTTAGCCATAAATTATTTGCCAAAGCCTATATCAAGAAGGTATTTCCTAGGTTTTCTTTTAGGATTTTTGTAGTTTGAGGTATTACATTCAAATCTTTAGTTCATCTTAAGTTAATTTTTGCATATGGTAAAAGGTAGGGGTCTAGTTTCATTCTTCTGCATATGGCTAGCCAGTTATGCTAGCACCATTTATTGACTAGGTAGTCCTTTCCCCATGGCTTGTTTCTGTTAGCACTGTCAAAGATCAGATGATAGTAGCTGTGCAGCTTTATATCTGAGTTTTCTATTCTTTTTCTTGGTCTTCTTGTCTGTTTTTGTACCAATACCATGCTGTTTTGGTTATTGTGGCCTTATAGTGTAGTTTGAAGTCAGGTAACGTGATGCCTCCGGCTTTGTTTCATTTACTTAGGATTGCTTTGACTATTCAGGTTCTTTTTTGGTTCTTTTTTTTTTTTTTTTTTTTTTTGTTTTTTTGGAGACTAGGTCTGGCTCTTGTCGCCCAGGCTGGAGTGCGTGGCCGGATCTCAGCTCACTCAAGCTCCGCCTCCCGGTTTACGCATTCTCCTGCCTCGCAGCTCCCGAGTAGCTGGGACCACAGGCGCCCCCACTTCGCCCGGCTAGTTTTTTTGATTTTTTAGTAGAGATGGGGTTTCACCGTGTTAGCCAGGATAGTCTCGATTCCTGACCTCGTGATCGCGCCGTCTCGGCCTCCAAGTGCTGGGATTACAGGCTTGAGCACCGCGCCCGGCTCTTTTTTGGTTCTATATGAATTTTAGAATAGTTTTTTCTAATTCTGTGAAAAATGACATTGATATTTTGATAAGAATACTGTTGAATGTGTATAATGCTTTGAACATTGTGGCCATTTATTGATTCTTCCAATCCATGAGCATGGAATGTTTTTCTATTTGTTTGTGTCATCTATGCTTTCTTTCAGCAGTGTTTTGTAATTCTCCTTGTTGGGAGCTTTCACTTCCGTGGTTAGATGTATTTCTAGGTATTTTATTTGTGTGTGTGTGTGTGTGTGTGTGTGTGTGTGTGGCTATTGTAAATGGGATTGTGTTCTGTAGGGACTACAGACGTGAGCCACCATGCCCAGCTAATTTTTTTATTTTTAGTAGAGATGGGATTTTGCCATGTTGGCCTGGTTGGTCTGGAACTCCTGTCCTCCAGTAATCTGCCTGCCTCAGCCTCCCAGAGTGCTGGGATTACAGGCGTGAGCCACCATGCCCGGCCTATAAATGCTTATTTTTTTATGCCACTGAGTTTAAGGATGGGTTGTTACTCAGCATTATTATGGCAATAGCTAACTGATATTCTTTCTTCATCTTTTACAGTGATTTTATCTTTTTGTTCTTGTCATCTAGAAGATATATTTAGAGACATTGTCTTTGAATATTATGGAAGTTAAAATAATCCTTTGGTCTCTTGATTTTGCTTATGGCATTTTGTTGCCATGAAAATATTTTTGCATGTATTTGTCTTTTTAAAGTGGTGCATTACTTATAATGGCTTTATGCACTATATATTTTTTTAAAGGACTCTGTTTTTTTCTAGTATTTTTGTAGTACCAAGTTTTTTGTTTAAAAGTTTAGTGCATGTTTATATTTATTTATATTTGCATGTTGCATGGCATTTATTTACATACATGTTCTGTCATATTTATTTATGTTTGAATAGTGCACATTCATATTTACTTATATTTGTGAGAGATGCTGTAAAGAACCGAGACGGAGTCTCACCCTGTTGCCCAGGCTGGAGTACATTGGTGTGACCTCGGATCACTACAACCTCCGCCTCCCGGGTTCAAGCGATTCTCTTGCCTCAGCCTCCTGAGTAGCTGGGATTATGGGTGTGTGCCACCATGCCTGGCTGTACAGACGGGATTTCACCATGTTGGCCAGGCTGGTCTCGAACTCCTGACCTCGTGATCCGCCCATCTCAGCCTCTCAAAGTGCTGAGATTACAGGCATGAGCCACGGTGCCCGGCCCCAAAATACATTTTTAAAGATACTACCCTGTTGTTCCAGCATCGTTTATTAGTCAATCCATCTTTTCCACACTGATTTAAAATGTTGTCTTTATCATCTACTAAATTATCATGTGTACTTAGATTTATTTCTGAAATTTCTCATGTGTTCAACTGATCCCTATACTCATGCATTACTTTTAATACTTTTATACTTTTACAACATTTTAATATCTGATAGACCTAGTCCCCCCATTAGAACTTTTACATTTCAGAGATTTACTAGGTTTTCTTGCTTGTTAATTTTTTCATAAAAACTTTAGATTCGACTTCTATATTTTCCCCAAAAGTCCATAGAATTTTTATTGAGGATCTGCTAAATTTATAGATTAATTTAGGGAGAACCAACATTTTTATGATATTAAGTCATTCTATCCAAGGGTATAGTATATATTTCTTTTATCCCTCAAGATTCTTTAAACATTTTCTTTATATACATTTTGTATATTTCTTATTATTTCCAGGCATTTCATTTTTTTGGCTATTGTGGCTATTGTAAGTAGGGTCTTCTCCAGTATATATATTTAGAGATGGGGTCTTGCTACATTGTCCAGGCTGGACTCAAACTCGTGGGATCAAGCAATCCTCCTGCCTCAGCCTCTGGAGTAGCTGGGACTACCATGTGTGCCACTGTGCCTGGCTTCTCCAGTACATCTTGTGATTAGTTGTTGTTTATTTGTGTGAAAGCTATTGTTTTCTGTATATTAACTTTATACCTAGAAACGTACTCAAATTTCCTATTATTTGTAACTTTTTTTAGTTCATTCTATTAGGTTTTCTAGCAAAACAAAATCTTTTTATCCATAAGAAATGACAACTTGACTCACTCCTTTCCAGTTTTTACGACTTTTGATTTATTTTTCTGTCTAATTGTTTTGGCTAAAATTTGTTCTAAAAGTTAAACAGCAACAGTAATAAAAACTATCCTTGTCCTCGTTTTAATAGGGATATTGCTAGCATTTTCTCATAAATCATAATGCCGACTCTTTGGATATATTTCATTATGATAAGAAAGTAAATTCATCAATTCTTATTTTATTTATTTATTTATTTATTTATTGAAACAGAGTCTCGTTCTGTCACCCAGGCTGGAATGCAGTGGTGTGATCTCAGCTCACTGCAGGTTCTGCCTCCCCAATTCAAGTGATTCTCGTGCCTCAGCCACTCAAGTAGCTGGGATTACTCTCTAATGACAGTGAAGATTTTTGTGTATTAACTCTCTCATTCCCCTGAGGCAGGCTAACTTGAAATGCCCTCCTACTGAGGGACTGGCAGTGTCCCAAGTTCCCAGCCTGCCCTGTCCCAGGGCATTTATAGTAGGGGAGGGGCAATGGGGGGAGGATCCTATCTTGAATCTCCTCCCTCCTCTCCAGTCCCTTGATTGCCCCTTAGGTATTCCAATGTGTCTCTTCCGCCCCGCCCCCCAACCCCACCGTGTTCCTAATAGGAGAGCTGCTCTTGGATTCTAAAATATCATTGTGAGGGGCTGAGTCTTCTTTGTCTGTGCTTTCCCAGAACTAGCATGAAGACTCTCAAAGAGCAGATGTTCAATTCATGTTTGGTGAATGATATAATTCGGATGTTTGTCCCCTCCAAATGTCAGGTTGACATGTAATTCCCAGTGTTGGAGGTGGGGCCTGGTGGGAGGTGTTTGGACCATTAAGGAGGGTCCCTCATGGCATGGTGGTGCCCTGGCCGTAGTGAGTGACTTCTTACAAGATCTGGTCATTTGAAAGCATGTGGCACCTCCCATACCCGCTCTGCTTGGCTGTCTTCCACCCACTGTTGCCACGTGACATGCCTGCACCTTCTTCCCCTCCTGGCATGAGAAAAAGCTCCCCAAGGCCTCCCCAGAAGCAGTTGCTGGTGCCATGCTCATACAGCCTGGTGAACCGTGAGCGAAGTCAACCTCTTTTCTTTAGAAATTACCCAGTCTCAGGTATGCCTTTAGAGCAACACAAGAACTGCCTAGCACAAGGAACAAAAGAGCCAGTGAACAAGTGTTCTCCTTTATGATGATTTAATTTCTCCAACATTCTTGAATACACATAGCAACTGTGAGTATATAGCTTTTTATTTGATCACAACAAAAGACTTAAAGAAATAAGATTTTTAAATGTCAAAGGTTGCCAATCAAGTGACACTTTTTTCCCACCATCTTCTAATCCCAACTGATGCAGCGTTTGGTTGTTTCACAGTTTAAAGCCAATCCCTATTCCATTGCTATTTCTTCTTGCACTAGATCACAATCTAATAAGTAAAAATTTCCAATTCATTTTACAAACTACAAGAACATCACTCTTCAATGTGATAAACAGCAATAATTTTGTGAGGCACCTAATTCATGAATTTAGATTCTGAATCAAAGTCAATCTCTTTCAAAGGAACACACGGTAGACATAGAAGAAAAAGAGGGAATCTACAAGTGGCTTGCAAATAACCAGAACACGAGAAAGACACATGTCTTGGGCTCCCTCTAGCCCCACCTCACCCCCAAATACTGAGATGGTGGACAGCCCTTTTCAATCTCTTAGTGAGGATTGCCTGAGACTTCACTACGGCTGAGAGGACCTGCTAACCCTGGCCCTGGCGCTAGCCCTGGCTGCTGCTCTGGCTCTGGCTTGTTCTTCCTCCTCTCTCAGAGCCTCCTCGTACTGGGACTTGTAGGTACTGGCAACGGTATCATTGAGCTTGGCCACAAACTCCAGGACTTGCATTTTGCTGGTTTCAGCATGGGCCCTGGGACCCCACAGGAACTCACAGCGTGGAGGATCACTGCTGGGCACCTGCCGGTACTCCAGGTACCCCTCTCGCACCAAATCTTTGGTGACAAGCTCCTGGGGCTCCCCGTAGATGAAGTGCTTCCTACCCTTATACATCCCCAATGCATTCAGGCATTCCCACATCTCTTCCTCAGTGGCACGGTTGCCATGCATGAAGATGGTGCTCAGGAGAACCATCAGGAGCCCGCTCTGGGGAAAACCCCCATCATCGCCCAAGCTTCCTTGATCGGGAAAGTCCAGCTTGCTGACAAGCACATAGGACTGACGGCTGGGGTCCATTTCCTTCAGGTAGAGGCCAAAGACCACCTCTACGTTCTCAGCGCTTCTCCGGAGGATCTCAGGGAAGTGCTGCTTGTATGTTCTGTTGATAACCTTCAGCATGGCTTCCCTCGTAATGGGCTCTTTCCTTATATACTTGTTGAGCAGGAACTGCACCAATTCGCCCGTCTTCCTGTTCAGAAGATCTCTTCCTGTGCTCTCAGAGGAGGACGGGCCATGGAAGGAGTTGGGACTTCCCCCCTTTTGGCCCTTGGCACCTTCCTCAGAACTTGTGAGTGACACAGCTGCAGCAGGAGAGCTGGGGTAGCTGGCTCTCTGGGACTCCTGAGGAATGCCTGCAGCGGGGAAGCTCTGGGGAGCACTCTGGCATGCAGGCGAGGAGGAGGATGGCAGCTTTTCCTTCTCTGCTGCGGTGGCTTGAGCACCCCTGAGACATCGGTCTTCACCTCGAGCCTGGCGGCGTTTTTCACGGGCACGGCGCTTACTCTCCTGACCGCGAGGCATGATGACTGTGCTCAGGGGCAGCAGGCAAGAGGGTGCAGGAGGTGGGCACCTGGAGCAGGAGGAACAGAGGGCGTGAGCCCCTCAGTGGGGAGATATCACCTTAAGGAGGCCCCCATGCAGGTGTCCTTGAGGACTCTGCTCCACAGCCCCACCTGGCTCCTGTTCTCCAGGGCAGCCTGTCCCCTGGGGACCCTGGGGAAGAAGTTACAGTGCTCCTTGCCCTGCAGCCTGCCAGCCCTGCCTGGGACCAAGATCCTCACTTCTCTGTTTCCTCTGAGGGGAAACTGAGGCATCTGGGCTTGACATCCCTGTCTGGGGCCTCAAACCTCTGACATAGGGAGGGATCCTGAGGTCCTCTTACTAATTTGGGGCCAGTGGCTCCACACTCCTCAGGGTCCTCACTATCTGAGGCCCTTCCCTTCAGGTCAAGGCCCTCACCTTCCTGAGACCCCGCCCCCACCCCAAGGGGAAAGAAAGCATGAGTCCCCTCCAGCCACCTCTGTTCATGGCCTTTCTGGACTGGTAGCAGGGTCTGGACTCTCAGAGCCTCTGATGTTCTGGGCTCGGTGGCCCTGTTAGTCCTCACTTAGGCAGGATATGAGACATGTCCCTCAGCCCACCAGATTCCTCCAGCCTCAGCCCCAGGCCCTGTCCACCCTGAGCCCCCATGGGCTAGAAGTGAGGGGCCCTCTATTCGACTCCCTCTCCCGGGGTTTCCCAGGCCTGAGAGGGAAGCCAGACTTTGTGGTGCTCCCAGATCCAGGTGAGTGCTCTCCTCAGCCTTCACTCAGAGTCTTAACCCTGACTCCCATCACTACCTGGAAAACACTCCTGTCTTAACCTGAGACTTATTCCCTCATACCAGCCCCTCCATTCTGAAATACCCCTAGGAAGTAGTGACGGTCACCTCAGCTGGCCACAAATGCTCATCATTTCCCAAGACTGGGAGCAGCGGAGATTTTCTGTGTTGGCCCCGCAGTTACACATGGGTGGTCCCCTCGGTCCTCAGGGTCCTCACCTTGACTCCTGGCAACAGCTTAACAACCTCCAGCAGCTGTCTTGAGGCTGTCCCTTTTACCCAGGCTCTTCACCTCCCTGAGATGCCCTGGGAGGAAATGCCACTCACCATGCCAACGTGCTTGGGTCTCCCAGGGGTGAGGGTAGGGGTGGTGCTCTATGTGGTCTACTTCTCCCTGGGAGGGGCTCCCTCTTCTCATTCAGTGTTCTCCCCTTGACTCCCACCAGGGACTAAGTCCTCCTTCCTATCCTGCCATGAATGGGGCCTCGCCCATTGGTGCAAAAGAGCCACTTCTCTGAGACACCACCCCGACCCCTTCAGGACACCAGGATCACCAAATGCTAATGGCTCTGCCCATGGTTTCCCAGGGCGCACAGCAGAGCTGAGACTTTATGTCCTCTCCTGTGTTTTGGAGTGGTCATTTTCCTCCCTCCTCATGCAGGATTTTTTTTACCTTCACTCCCCACAGAGACTGGGACTCCTTTCTCTGCTGACCTGGGGCAGCCAGTCTTGCAACCAAAGCCCTCCTCTGCTGACACCCTCTGTGCAGCCCTGTCTACTGAGGGCTCAGGATCTTCACCTTGCTACTTGACCAGTCCTGGGACTCCATCCTCAGCTCGTCACAGGCAGCACCCTTCACAGCAAGGTCCTTGCTTCAATGGGACATCAGATTTGTACATTCAGGGTAAGCCACATCCTCTCAAGGCTGTTTAGGGCCTTCAAGGCGTGACAGCTGGGGTGGGACTCTAGGGGACCCCACTGCTCTACCTCAGGGTTCTGAACTTGCCTCAGGGTGGGACCTCCAACTCTTTGGGACGCGACTCAGGTCGCTTCACTGACCTAAGTCAGCCAGGTCCAGGCCCAAGGTCTCACGTCCCAAAGTTGCTAAAGGGAAAGTCAGGGCATGCCCAGTCTGGCTGTGTCTGCACGGGGTCTCCCAGAGCTGACAACAGGGCAGCAGAAACCTGGCTCTCGGGCTCTCCCTGGCTCTCTTGCTTTTTTCTTTTTTTTTTTTTTCTTTGTGACAGACACGGGTCTCTGTCTGTCGCCACGTTCATGGCGTGACCATGGCTCACTGCAGCTTCGATCTGCTAGGCTCTCGCGATCCTCCCGCGTCAGCCTCCCGAGTCGCTGGGATCACAGGCGCCGGCCACCATGTCCCGCTAGTTTTTATTCTTTTCTTTCTTGGAGAAAGAGGGTCTTGCTTTGTTGCTCAGGCTGGTCTGGAACTGCTAGGCTAAGGTAATCCTCCCGCCTCAGCTTCCCAAAGCACTGGAATCACAGGTGTGCGCTACCACGCCCACCTCGTGGGCCTCCTGTGTTTGGGAGAGGTCTCCTCATCAGCATCAGGGGCCTCATTTCGATTAGGGCCTAGGTGTCCATCCCTCTGCAGAATCGGAGCCTCACCCTCACACCAAACCCTCCCCTCCCTGGTACCCTCTCAGAAATCAGCGCCACAGCCTGACTGGAGCCTCCCGCGGCTGAGGGAGGTGGGTGCCCGGGGGCGGAGGTTGGGGGACACAGGGTGGTTACCTTGGCTGCGTGCGGGTGGGCCTTTCAGTCCACGATCGGGGTCCTTACCTTGATACCCAACCAGTCCTGGGGTTCTGGTAGCCTGAGGTGGCGTCCCTCAGATGAAGATCTTCACCTTCCGGCAGCTTCCCTGGCGGGCGGAAGTCGGAGTGAGCCCCATCCAACCAAGTCCCTGCGGGGTCGCCCAGGGGCGGGGCTCTGCTTAGGGCCCCTTTTTGCATAGAAGTCCTCTCCAGTGTACTCAGTGTCCTCTCCGGGACTCCAGTGAGTGTCCAGTTCTCCTCCCTCAGCTGAACTGTGCTTTTGCCTTTAGACAGAGTCACTACCCTCGTTAGAGCATCTAAGCAGAAAAAAGGGGATCCTCAGCTGAGGTCTTTGTTATGACTGACAAGATTAAGCATTTTTTTACTTTTGTTTTTATTTTTTGCTGATAACCATTCCCTTATGTCACTCAGGGTCCTCACCTTGATTCGAGTCAGTTTCTGGGGCTCCACTATGCACAGCTGGGGCTGTCCCCACCAGACCAAGATTCTCCCTTCCCTGAGACCCTCCAGGCCGAAATGACAGCCACCTAAACCTGACAGCTATTCCTGGGCATCCCAAGTCACAGGAGAGGTAAGGATGGGGTGGCAGGAGTGGGGATGGGATGGTGTGGCGGCGGCAGTGCGGGAAAGGGGAGATGTGGGTTGGTGGAGGTAAGAGTTTTTGTGTCTTCCTCTGTTCTAGTGTGGATGTGTGGTTTTCTAATTCCTCCCTGAAATTCCTCACCTTGACACCTGACTAGTCCTGGAACTTGATCCTCATGGGACTTGAGGCTGCTCACCTCTGATCAAGGTTCTCACCTTCCCGAGACTACAGAGTTGTAATCAGGATGAGCCAAATCCACCAACGACTATTCCAGAATGACAAGGGCTGTCAGCCAGGGCAGGACTCTATGGGACCCCACTGTTCTGGCTTGTTCCTTCCTTTATTCTTGATTCAGGGTCATCACCTCGGTATCTATCAGAAGCTCACAGTCCTTCTTCTACTGACCTGAGTTTGTCTTCCTGAAGTCTCTCATGCTTCTGAGAACGTTGAAGGATAATTGTGGAGACGCTCAGTCTCAGCCCTGCCTGTGGCCCTCTAAGTCTGAGAGCAGCCACAGGCTGGTCTCTGTTGGACCTCCAATATTCTGGGATGATGGTATCCTCAGCCCTCCTACATGGGGCTTCACATCTTGGTTCCTGTCTTGTTAATTGAAGGCTTCCTGGGAAATGCCAAAATCCCTGCAATCTCTTGAACAGTTTTTCTTCCGCAGACTTTGTGGAGCATGGCTCCTTGCCCTGAAGTGATGAGAGATCAGGAAGCTGTAGCTCAAGGCAGGGGGCCCAGGACAAGTGGTGGGCGGTCCAAATAAAGCCAGTTGGTCTATTCCATTTCTTCACCAGCCAGACTTAGCCTCTGCTGTAACTTCGGTTCTAATAGATTGGCTTTCTCCAAGGAAGGGTAGGGCCACATGATTTTGTGAGTCCCTGATCTTTTCAGGTGATCTGACATCACATATGTAGATGATCATGTGGTCACTGAGTATTGTCTCTTTCTTTTCCTTATTCTTAGCTCTCATTTATTTTTGTATTCTTATTGCTCTGGCTATGTATTCCAAACCAGTAGTTTGTACACAATATTTTTCTTCTTATTACTTGATATGCAATTTGGAGTAGGGAGAAGAAAAGTGAATTAAGATACACAAGGTCTGTCTCAGGCTGAGACGAGTGTGACAGTATGGGAATAAATAAGCAATACTTGCTGAGTGTAGTCTCTCAAGCCTGTAATCCCAACACTTTGGGAGGCTGAGGTGGGTGGATCACCTGAGGTCAGGAGTTCGAGACCAGCTTGGTCAACATGGCGAAACCCTGTCTCTACTGAAAAAATACAAAAATTAGCTGGACATGGTGATGGGTGCCTATAATCCCAGCTTCTCGGGAGGTTGAGGCAGGAGAATTGCTTGAACCCAGGAAGTGGAGGTTGCCGTGAGCCGAGATTGTGCCATTGCACTCCAGAATGGGCGATAGAGTGAGACTCCATCTCAAGAAAAAAAAAAAAAAGCAATACTTGCAGATGGTTAGCAAGAAAGTTTATTTTTTTCTTTCCATGGCATTCCCCAACATGTTTCCTAATTAATATGAGCCCCTATGACAAGTTTGACCACTCACAGTGATGTACATTAAGTTCTCAGAACGTTCCCCTGCCTTTGACTACAGGCCAGAGAGTCATGGTTCCTTTACTTCTTGTCTGGAGTGGACATCATTTTTAATAATGGTGAATTAAATCAGTGTTAGTTGGTGCTGCTAATCTGTGCACCACAAATGACAGTTGTTTATTTGGTGGTCCTATTGAGCATGACAAGTAAGGTAAGTACTAATAGTTGCCTAAAAGGCAGAATTTATTAACTCTGACACTTCCCCCCTCATTTGGCTATTCATGCTCTGGGTCTGTGGTTGTGAGAAACTGATCACATAGAGCTCTACAAAGGGAATTTTGTGGTTTTCTCTAATTGGTTCAGACAATGGAATGAGGGATGGCAAGACAGAGAGAGAGAGAGAAAAATAAAGAAAGAGAGGGAGACAGAGAGAGAGGGAGGGAGGGAGGGAGAGAGAGAGAGACAGAGAGAAAGAAAGAAAGAAAGAAAGAAAGAAAGAAAGAAAGAAAGAGAAAGAAAGAAGAGAGGGGGTAGGGGAAGAGGAAAGAAAAGAAAAGAAAGAAAGAAGAGAGAGAAAGAGAGAAAGAGAGGGGTGGAGGAAGAGGAAGGAAGGAAGGAAAGAAGAAAGAAAGGAAGAAAGAAAGAAAGAGAAAGAAAAAAGAAAAGGAGGGAAGGAGGGAGGGAAGGAAGGGAAGGAAGGGAGAGAGAAAGAAAGGGGGAGGGAAAAGAAAAGGAAGAAATGAAGGAAAGAAGGAAGGAAGGGATGGAGGGAAGGAGAAAGGAAGGAAGAAGGAAGGAAGGAAAGAAAGCTTTATAGAGAAGAAAAGGTCCCTGGCCCTAAGAAGCTTTATCAGTCCAATGCAGGAGTCAGCAAATGACAGCTTTCAGGCCAAATCTAGCTCACCATCTGTTTTTGCAAATGCAGATTTATTAGAACACAATCACACTCACTCATTTACATGTTATCTGTGACCGCTTTCATACTACAAAGGCAGAATCTAGTAATCGTGACAGACGCTGTATGTCATGCAATGCCTAAAATATTTATTCTCTGGCCCTTTACAGAAAATGTTTGTCAATTCCTGATTTAGTGGGATAGATCAGCATTTACACAAATAAGTATAATTCAAAGCAGGATATGATTAAAAAAAAATAGGACCCATGTAGAAAGTACTGTGTGAGTACAGGAGCATGGTTGGGCTTCATGGAGACAGAACACTGCAGCTGGGCTTTGGTGAATGGGTTGGATTCAGGCCAGCTGAGAGACAAGAGGACATTTTAGGTGAGGTGGTCCTCAACCCTGTCTGCTTATTGCAATCGCTTGGAGAGTTTTGAAATAGAGATGTCTGGGTTCCCCCTCCTTGAGATTCTGACTCTGCTGTTCAGGGACAGGGCCTGGGCATCAGGATTTTTTTTTTTTTAGACAGAGTCTTGCTCTGGAATGCAGTGGCCCGATCTCAGTTCACTGCAGCCTCTGCCTCCCGGATTCAAGTGATCCTCCCACCTCAGTCCCCAGAGTAACTGGGACTACAGGTGCGTATCACCATGCCTGACTAATTTTTGTATTTTTTTTTTCAATAGGGACGAAGGTTTCACCAGGTTGCTCAGGCTGGTCTCAAACTCCTAGGCTCAAGTGATCTTCCTGCCTTGGCCTCCCAAAGTGCTGGGCTTATAGGTGTGAACCACTGCACCTGGTGGGCATCAGGATTTTTAAAAACTCCACAGGTTATTCTAAGGGCAGCCCAGGTTGAAAAACACTGGGCCAAAGAAGTGTCAGGGAACAATTAGGAGCAAGGTGTGAATGGAGGGAGTCTCTGGGTGCAGAGGGAAGGGATAGTGCAGTGGGAAATAAGCCTGGGAAGTAGGGAGTCAAATCAAGGTCAGAGAAATTAGATTTTGTCCTGGGAAATGGGGACAATAACAAAATGGGGACAATGTGGGCATGACAGCAACATGATCAGAGGCATGTATAAGGAAGCATAATCTAGAAAAAAACCTAAAGAATAAAAATAAGAGCCTGTTAGGGGTTTTTTGCAAGAGTTTAAGCAAAACAAGGAGCATATCTTGTTTAGGGCAGTGACATGGTATGATTTGGCTGTGTCCCCACCCAAATCTCATCTTGAATTGTAGTTCCCATAATACCCACGTGTCGTGGGAAGGACCCAGTCGAAGGTAATTGAATCAATGGGGTGGCTACCCTCTTGCTGCCCTCATGATAGTGAGTGAGTTCTTATGAGATCTGATGTTTTTAGAAGGGGCTTTTCCCCCTTCGGCACTTCTCCTTCCTGCCATCACGTGGAGGATGTGTTTGCTTCCCCTTCCACCATAATTGTGAGTTTCCTGAGGCCTCCCCAGACCTGCAGAATTGTGAGGCAGTTAAACCTCTTTTCTTTACAAATTACCCAGTCTTGGGTATGTCTTTATTAGCAGCATAAGAACAGACTAATACAGTAAATTGGTACCCTCAGAGACTGGGGTGCTACTATAAAGATACTTGAAAATGTGGAAGTGAATTTGGCTTCCAGGCAGAGGTTGGAAGAATTTGGAGGGCTCAGAAGGCAGGAAGATGTGGGAAAGTTTGGAACTTCCTAGAGACTTGTTGAATGGCTTTGACCAAAATGCTGATAGTGATATGGACAATGAAATCCAGGCTGAGGTGGTGGTCTCAGATGGAGATGAGGAACTTTTTGGGAACTTGAATAAAGGTGACTCTTGCTATGCAAAGAGACTGGTGGCATTTGGCCCCTGTCCTAGAGATCTGTGGAACTTTGAACTTGAAAGAGATGATTTAAGGTATCTGGCTGAATAAATTTCTAAACAGCAAAGTGTTAAAGGGGAAGCAAAGCATAAAAGTTTGGAAAATTTGCAGCTTGAGGATACAATAGAAAAGAAAAACCCATTTTCTGGGGAGAAATTCAAGCCTTCTGCAGAAATTTGCATAAGTAACAAAGAACCAAATGATAATCACCAAGACAATGGGGAAAATGTCTCCAGGGCATGTCAGAGACCTTTGTGGTAGCCCCTCCCATCACAGGACCCGCCTGCTGTGTGCAGCCTAGGGACTTGGTGCCCTGTGTCCCAGCCACTCCAGCCATGGCTAAAAGGGGCCAAGGTACAGCTCAGGCCCTGGCTTCGGAGGGTGCAAGCCCCAAGGCT